TATATATATATATATATATATATATATATATATATATATATATATATATATATATATATATATATAAATCCTGTTATTGTTAAATTAAATCTGTTTCTAGTTAATGCCCAATTCACAATAATATATGAATACTTTCAAGTCGATGCATCCTCCTAAAGTAATTATTTCTTTCAAAATTCGAAAGTCAGTTTAAACACGGCTGTCGATTGCGAGTTGTACGATTTGCGTTCACTTCGCGCGACACGACTGCGATTCTTTACTCGAGAGTTTCGTTGTCCACAGCCCACAATACTTCCATCATATTGACATTGACATATTGAATTGTTCGGTAAAATACCCGTGAATCTAATTTTATAGATTTGCTTGGACGATTTTGACGATGTATGTTATATGACATCATACACCCAACATGTCTGTTCCAAATTCAAAATCAATTGCATAACTCGCAATTCAAATGTTACATATAATAGTAAAATTAACTTCATATCTGAGAGTAGTCAACTTATTTAAGGGTATAATTATTTGCCGTAGACAGTTCGAGGGAGAGGATTTACAGAAAACAAGGAGTTTTTGGAAGGCAAGAATAATAATTGATGAGCTCATGAAACATTTCATCCGAAAATTGGCGTAGACATATTTAATACGGCATATAAGCTGCGTGCCGTGCGCGAAGTTATATGCCAAAATTAGACTTGGTTATCGACACATAAATATTCACGAAGCTGCCGAAAATCGGTGAACAGACAAAATTATAACCTGAGACGAAAATTATTGATATTCCTTCACTTGCGTTTGAAAAGAAACCTGTTTGTTGTTGATTATTTATCCGAAACTGTAACATGCGTAACTGGCATAGTGAGTCTGAGTGTACAAATTTCATTTCGTATGCAAGGTACTTCTGATGTGGATTTCTAAATGTTATTCTCCGCTCTGTGCGGACCAGCGTGCTCTGCTGTGATTGGCTGTCACCATTTCTGTCTTATGTTTATTAATGGCATGTGAGCTTTTTAACCGCTTACTAATCAGGCGTCAGGTCCGGGTGACCTGAGGTCAGCAGTCGGCCTGAATCAGCGTACGAATGAAAGAATTGAATAGTTTCGAAACATGACTATCATAATCGCAATAATGTCTGCATTAATGAATATGTGCAATCGATAGAGAGACAAAAACGGATTACATAAGTTTGCGGTAACTCAGCCAATCAGTTGAACTACTAGTAATGCATTCGATGTTAAAGCGCGGTGGTAGTCGCGCAGCACGTGTTCGAATTTCATGTAAATAAACAATGGATTTTACACGCGTTGTATACGTTGCTATGAGTCCCATATCGAACAGGACGCGGCGCGAAGACTGCCGCCCTTTAATGCATTGTTTCAACCAATGTGCTTCACTTTGTCTAAAACCTCTTCCCGGTGAGGGAACACTTTTCTCCACATTTTATGTATTTACGCTAGGGTCACGCATCATTCACCACAAAACGCCCATAGTAAATGTAACCGCTGGAAACAAATTACATTTCCCCCTGAGTGGGTCTAGTGATTATACTATAAGATTATAACTAAATTTAATTAGAAAACAGTAACATAATATGTTTGACTCCTGTATGACCCTTATATTTGACCTGCTGGAAGAACTTGTTGGTCAGTCGAATCTCCAAATAAATTATTTTGTCTATCATTTCGAGATTGCTGTTCTCAAGTTGTTTGTTATCGGTGGAACGCTTACGACATTTCGAGCTTACGTTTAAATATGTTGGGTCAATTCTGACTCGATTGCATATTTATTATTTATTTATTATCTAAGGTTTTTGAGATTTTAAAAAGATATACATTCAGATGACTGGCCGGAGTTTAGAACGCCATATTCGTCACTCCACGTGGTGTACGATTCTGGCACCAGTTGTGACCTGCACAACGCTTGTAAAATACGCGCGTTACGTGACGAAAGTGGCGATATACTGAAGGATAGTTTAGAACTCCGCACAGTAAAGCGCAAAGGCCTCTGGGAAGGTGATTGGGATAGTTTTAGACAATCATCAGGTCGGAGCTACGTCACAAGACGTTCCAAGTTGCTAAGACGCGTACCACTGTACTATGGGCTCTGCGCGCGCTGCTGATGAACGCGGAACGCCAGTGAAAATTCGACAAAACAGGAACTCAACTTTGGAGTAATCCTGAACAATCAAATTTATATGCGTTACACACGCTGGGGTAATCTTGTTACACGGTTCAGGGGAGTCTCAACAACCATTCCAAAGTACCGTGTTCTCAGAGTTTTAGGCCTTCGTTTTCATCGTGATGATTGTCATGCGGTGAAAATGCCCGGATGTCCGCCCCGAGAATAGGCAATAATTTACTTCATTACGAATATGTACAATAGGTGATTTTCCGTTCAACTGCGAGATCTCGTGAGATGCATGGAAGATGCGCGTCGAACGTCTGCCGCAAAAATCGAACGATTTGATTTTGAACTCGAATTTCTTTATTTCGTAGGTCACATCGACCGGCCGATCTTCGACAGAGGAATATTGCTTTCAAATACCCTTACTTAATCGAAATTGTCTATCATCAAATGTGTACAGCACATTATTAAGCATAGAAATGCCCCAAAAATATTTTTGCGTTTGTCGAATCCCACGCGATGTTTGACGCCGCTAAGACGCTATGACCTTTGTTTGTCCTGTTTTTACGTTCGATTTCACGCATAACGCGTGATTCTCGCAGTGAACGGAAAATGGTCTATTGAGAAGAACCCAAAATAGATTTTATGCATGCGCAATCGTACTATCAGTCAGTTAATTCATGGAGGTCATGTGACATGGACGTCCCTGGGAAAATGTGCATGTGGACGTGAGGTGCTAAAAACTTTCTTTTACCAAAGAGGTAAACCTGCGACCAATGATATAATTTGGATTGAATACCGCCATCAAGGGGTGCTATTCAGTGTGTATTAAATCAACAATCAATGAACGGTATCGGTTTCTTTTCTTTACGGGTGGCTCTGATGATAGCGTGCTTTATATACGATGAAAGCAAAAATGCACTTGAATTATAGATAATTGATGACGACATACCTGACCTCTGACCCCTACTGTTATTCCTAATTTGAAACAAGTCTCAGTTATGCTGGTTACAGAAACATAGTTATGCGTGCTTTCTCCGTGAAGTGATTTTATGGTGCGTGAGATCATACTTAAAACGTGTTTGGTACGATACGAAATTATGCGCGGTCAGCGAAGAACTGTGTGTACTTACATCTGTTTCCGTTGTAACTCTTGAATACCATCAACGAGACGATACATGAATAATGATTTACAGATTCCATTGTAACTTGTCAAAACGTTAATATCATTCTTTGCTTCGCGCTTTAAAATGTGTCGTCAATTTTTTGGTGCGTTTTCTTTTATGTCTTTGTCGTCTCTGCTTGCAGTGGCGGATCTAGGGGGTTCTTGGGGTCCGGACCCCCACCCCCGTTGAAAAATGTATTCAATTTGTTTTTGCATAATATAACAAATCATTAACTTAGTCTGGCGATTTTAAAGTTTGGACCACTCCCCCATAAAAAATCCTGTACCCCCGGCTTGGTCACTCTCGAGTTTGATTTTTACTTTAATTTATCGTAACTCCCCCCCCCCAATCGATCCTGTTTTGTGATGTGTCCACGAGACTATGCAATATCAACTGTGATTTGCTGTGACGTAATTTAGAATGTAGAAATCCTCAACAATATTATTTATTTATTATTGATAGGCAACAGCTTTTCAACCAAACAATAGCGACATTGTGATTGTCTATACTTCCGAAAAAAACGACTTCATAATTGTCCCACCGTCCACTCTAAAAACGTATCACGTGATTGCCCATCTTTTCTTTTCCCAATTTACGTCATGTAAGTTTGAGCAGTTTGTTGCATTCCAGCAATTGTGCATATGATAATGACCAGAGACTCACTTACATTCGTGCTTCTTTATTTGAATGCAGTTCCTATCGATCAAGATGGCTCTGTCGGCAGGCGAAATCAAACTTGTGACTGACTCCTGGACTGCTGTATACGCTAACAAGAAAGCAAATGGAGTTGCTTTATTTGTAAGGTGAGTGTACTGATGTTATGGTAATCGGTACCATATATAGTAATTGTAATATAATATGGTAGTGTTACCATACATGGTAACTGTAACTACCGTCTACTTACTGTACATGCAAGTCTTACCATATACAATTGAGGCTTATATGTTAATTGTCATATTTAGGGTAAGTTTACGTTACCATATATGGTAAGTATCACCTTTTATTGTAATCATCGCGATATAATATCGAGTGAATTATTATTATACAAACTATTGCAGTATTGTGTTTTTCTCATTGGAACAGACTCTTCTCGGAGAACCCCGGATTCCAATCGCAGTTCCGTTATCTGGATGGTGTGTCTGGTCTTGCTGCCATCGAGAAAACGCCAGCCCTGGGAGACCACGCTGTGAAGGTGATGGATACAATCAATTCATGGATCGGCAGTTTGGGCGATAGTTCTGCAATGGTGGCGAAGTTAACAGCACTTGGCACTTCTCATATTGCACTTAAAGTCACACCGGCGAACTTCGATGTAAGTTTTACGTGCAACTAGAAACCGGTCATACCTACTGAAACCTGATAACAAATATTTCTTATACTGTCATTTGTTATGTAAGTCCCATAGTTTGTTTATATCAAAACATAGTCGACGGGTTAGCCATATAATACAAAATAACGCATTCCGGTCTAGACCCAATAGATCTTAGAAGCCAAAGGTCGCCGATATTTCGTTGAGAGCGAGATACCCGTTTTACCCTTCAAATAGCTTTCCATTCTTTCCTGTCAACGCGTCCACTGTCCACCTGATATATTGAACCACAATGACAGTTAACGCGATTGCAGGAATGTAACGCTATTTGAAGGGCAAAAACAAGTCTCGTAGTTCTCTGCCGGCTCTCAACGAGATCTCGCGGTGTATTTGTATCTAAGGGCTATCCATACTTTATTATTATTTAGAGAGCTTGCATTGTTATATGTCATTGGACAAGTCAAAAAGCCGATAATCCCATATAGACTGAATGTTGCGAGGTTTCGTGGACGAGTTCAAACTAACAAAATCAATCAAATATATATTAACATTACTTCTTTGCTTTGCTTTTTCATCAGGCCATGGGTCCAGTACTGTTGTGGATGCTTCAAGAAAAAGCAGGTGGTGCTTTCACTCCTGCTGCCAAGGACGCGTGGGCAAAGGGATGGGATCTCATGAAATCCCACATTGTCAAAGCTCTGCAAGGTTGAAAATAACAACACCAGTTGTCATTTAGCGCCGATCGGGCGATTTTAATATACGGATTATAAATATATTTCTATAGCAAGCTGTTCTTGTAAAACACGTATGCAAATGAGCGATCGTCGCTCGAGTATCTCTGTTCATTGATACAAGGGTACAATGTTTCATTGACGTGTTTTTCTGTCAAACATACACACTTTAAACATCCATGTTAAGATGTCTACATAGATACTAGGACAGACCATTTCGGAGCTTAGTATTATGCACGTCATAGTATGTGTTTGCGTCATCAAGCTCGTTCGAGACTTGGAGATAATAATCCACCGTTGTATAGAGAATATAACACGATTAACTACGGAAAGAAATGAACAAAATGATGGAGTCATTGATGTATCACACGTCGAACACATAGCGTGTGACACTAAAATTCAGATCGTCTTTCTCGTTTGTCTTGCACCTTCAGTCCAAATCAATTCTTCCTTCTGAAATCTTAAAAAATGTGACAATTTTCTCATTTGCAAATTACAATATAACAAAATATGTCAGTCTAATGTTGTGTAATGTCAAGCTTAATAAATAACACTAGAAATAAGAATTGTCTCTGTGTGTTTGATTGCTTCCATATTGAAGTATAAGTAGAGGGGGCAATCGTAATTCTGTCATTTGTGTTTGCAATGTTTATATTTAGACTTTGGCGTTACATTTTGGGGTTCTACCACAAGCGCTCGAATTGACAGTAAAAGTACAAAAATGACTAATTTTTGAATGGATGACATATTTGTTAAGACTGTACATCAATAATAATAGAAATAATAATTTAGATTTAAAAAACAATGCCAGAATTACCATGTATCTTACAAAGCAGTAGCCTGCCTCTTTGTGTGAGAGTTATTTCCATTTTATTGAAAGTGTGTGAAAAATAAGCAATGAGTAAATGATTATGAAAATTAGTCATTCTCTCAATTTGTGTTTAATAGTTGATCAGAAGTTCAAATTCGTGTGTGAAACGTGTACACTATGTTGATCACGTGTTTATCTACGAAATGACGTCAGAGATTGTTGGCAGTTGCTTTATTATTTTGTACTAATGTAATATAGGGTGTTAACCTAATAATGTAACACTTCTGGCATTTCGTGTAAAGCAGTGGAGACCAAAACTGTGAATATAAAAAAAAATGCAAAAAAACAAAAAAACAACAACAACAAACTATAAATAAATAAAAATAATTTCAATGTTGAATAAATATTCGTGAAATCCTTGCAAATTGCTTATACTTTGTGAGTATATTTAATGTACTGCTATAATTGTCATATGTGGAAAAACCCTGAGGTTAAAAAAAAATACTTTTTTGAGATAAACGTGACATTACGGTACGTGGATTGTGGAATTAATGCTTGAGTATCTACAGAAGGGTATCTAACACATGGCCCGTTAAATCAGAAACATTCTTTTCACGTGGACGTCTACAAGGCACGTGGTCAGTAATAAAAAAAATCGCCGAATAATTCAAGTAATACAACAATAATAAAGACTCAAGACGCATTACTGATTACGTAACAGCAAAATTATTGTCCACAGATAGTGTGTACACATGATTTGTGAAATGCACCACAGTAACACCGCCTTGTTTAAAGAGGTGGCCGTCGCGCCGTACATATGAGGTGATATGGGTCCAATATTAACACAGATGGAGACTTTGACCGACACTGTCCAGGTTTGCCTAGATGATTCATGGGTTGATTGAAATGCATCGAAGAACTTAAACGAGCCAAAGTAGATATTAGTGCACACTACAAACAGATGCTTGTCACTGGGAGAGCGCATTGGATTCTGGTATAACCACTATTTATCAACAATAGTCTCGTACATGCGTAAACCATCTACTAGTATATGGTTAAGTTCATACTGCCCTCTAGTGTCCATAGTTTTATTTGTCGTGTTTTTTACACTTGGGGGCGCTAATGTCAACGTCCTCTATTCAGTTTCAAACGAAGTATGTTTATAATATTGAGCTGCATGATGTTGCAAAAACATTTCTGAATTGGAATCAGGTAAATCAATCACAGTAAAGAAATAAACTAACATCACTGCATACATAGAAAATAATTTGGATCCAGTACAATACTGTGTATGAATGTTTTGAGGCGTATGGTTACACAGTCGCGGTGGTGGGCGGTGTCTGTTTCACCCAAATTAGCTCTGAATTTGAATACCTAAAACTGGTTTTCCCGTTGAGCTACCAATAGATATTATTATGTAGACGAGGTCAGTGATGGTTAAGCTTAAGATGTGTTATGACAACGGAGTCGTCCTCGATAAACAATTGTAACCGAACCACAATAGTGACACTATGGCGAGCAACACACTCTTGTATCCCCCGGCTGAGAAAAGTTCGATTCATTTTTTTTATTTCCGACCATTAGACCGTGAAAATCAAACTACCGACAAACCAGTAGCAAATTGGCCACGTTAACTATCAGATAACCTTTGATTTATTGTACACTTTGACAATAACGTGCAATCTATTGTTGAATACAAAGCGTACATTTGTTCCACACATCGGTCTACAAAACTGAGTACACATGTTACAAATATCCACACCACGACAGACCCTTTATCGACCATTCTGTAAACCTGAAATATATTATAAATAAATATATAAAATTCCATGATTGCTGTGTTATTGACATTCAGATTGTTTGAAGATTTGATGTCAACTCTATTTGACCTTTGACCACATACTTGTCCATTCCGGTGAGCTATCTCGGCGTGAGTGTGATTGTATTCGCCCCTATATGACCTAGGCATTTCTGCCGTACGTGTTTACAAGTTTACACATGACTTGGGTTCAGCAGATTAAATAAATTCAAATCGCGCTGTATAAGAGTAACTGACACGCAGAAAACTTGCCATTTGGACTCCGAGACTCGTCGTTGTTGGTGTCGTCAACAGGTGAGTACCATCAGTCAGTATTTGATCTTCAGACATGCATATACGTTACTGTATATTAAACGTAATCTTGTAGTTACACTGTCATTTTATCGTCGCACTGACAACTGTATAATCGAATGGTCAACTTCACAATTTTAATTCAATTCCGATGGTAACGGAAGCGCTTTGGGGTAGAACGAAGGTTACATTCGCGAGGTTTGATTGGAAATAAAGGTTGACGACCTCTTCAAATGAAATATCAACATTGCATTATATTTATATTATAACTCCATGCTCCCCGGTGGCATAATTTACCGTACTCGAGAAAGTTTCAAAAGTATCCCTTGAAACTAGCGGGTTGTAGTTTCATGTTTAACCTGACTCCATATCCTGCTTAGAAAGCAATATATGTGCGTTATTTATACATGATCTAATATCTCTGATTCATATATAATAATTGTGAGACACAATCTATGCTACAGCTATATTCGAGTCGGCAGTGATGACGTGTTCCGACCAGACATCTGAAAAAAAAAAGCGGCGTGATACAATCGCGGTACTTCTCGTTAGTACTCTTTCTGGTAAGACACAGTCATTGCCGTTGAATCTACGACGCCAGCGTGCAAACATATCAACCCCAGGTATTCTTTCTGTGAAGCGCTGCTCAGTGGTTTCAATTACTACTAACACAACTAGGGTCACATTAAATCAAAGCTTGGTTATCTAGTATCAAACTTAATAAAAAACACTAGAGTTTTTGACTCCGATCAAAAAAGTTATCAATTTCTTGCTGTGGTTTGACATTCGTACATCGACAGGCGCATGCGTACTAATTTTACAATATTATAATAAATAAAATAAATAAGACATATATTTGTACAACAAAGTATCTGAATAAAATATAGTTATGAAAGGCGACATATGACTCAAAGTAAGAGCCACGCTATTAGAAACTCGGAGAGACTGAGAATTGATTTCGAAAAAAATAGCAATAGAACATTTATATAACAAAGTACATACACTCTATAGAAAAAAGCAAATAAATCACAGCAACATCGTTGTGTTAAAATATAACCCAAACAATTTTGCAAAGTAATTATCAACACTTATATTTTCCTTCAATTTCTCCGTCGATATCTGTTATTCCATTTGATAATAAAGATTATTATTACTGTCGACTCTTCTAAGTGACATCATTGTTTCTTTTTATTCGTAAACGCTAAAACTTGCCAGAGAACACATCAATACAGGCATAGAAATAAGATTTATTCTGCTGAGAATGCAAAAAGTCTCTAATTTCGCAACTCAGTTGTATCAAGTGTGAAGTCTAAGTGCAAAATTTTTGTTTATTCTCCTGGCAACCACGTGTCGTCATAGCCTTTCACCACATTTTGCCGTGTGTATATTTCTGAACAGAGAGCACGTACTCAACTCAATCTTTGTCCGATCATTTGACCTCTCCCCACAATTGAAACCCTAAGTAGATTAATTTTCATTCCCTCTGTCCCATTCCGATATTCACAGTCTACTAGAATATATAAACACGACCCGCATTTTCTTTAGATTTGTCAAGTTTATTAAATGTTTCCGTGAACCATGTACTGTAGCACATCTGTAGCACGTTTTGTCGCAACCTATGCATTTATGAAATGACGACAGACTCGGGAGCATTAGGACTGTTGTATTCGAATACTATTTTTAAATTCTGATTTTCTGTAAACGATTATTATATATAGTAATACGAGAGATAGACACGTGATAGTTGTATTGACCATGACCATATTACCTCTGTTGAATGCATTTAAATCTAAGTTTGCTCAATATGTCCTTGGACATGTCGAGGGCGAAAAGGTCATTTGCTCAAGACACCACGCAAGTTCACAATTTTGGGAAGTTATACCGGATTATGCACCGACCATGCCAACCTGTTTACCACGTCCAATTTGGAGAAGTAATGCCAGAACCTGCAGCGAAATCACTGCTGACGAGCATTTACCGTGACACCGTGTTTACTGTTTATTACCAAACGCTTCAGCGTGGTATTAAGATTTTGTTTTCAGGCTTGGGTGGTACCAAGGTGGAAAATGGTTGCACATATGGGGGGTAATTCCTGGAATTGCAATAGAGAGGGTTCAGGCCGAAATACATATATATATATATATAGTGTTTCCATGTTTCGTCTGATATTTCTGTGGTATTCTGCTGCTGTAAATAATGCAAGATTTGTTCCGAAATTCAGTGTGTTGTGCACTCCATGGTTATTCGTTTTTTTGCTCAAAACACCCCTATTTTTTAATGGCAGAGTCGAATATTTTCACTCCCACTGGGAAATCTGCATTGTTACTTGAATGAGAGCTAACTAAACACATTTTCCAGACCGGCGAAAGTGTATGCAACAGCCAATTTTAACAGCCTGTCACGTGATTTTAGTCTGAATGTCAGCATCAAAAGAGGCTAATCCATTTACGCAGGTATAACTGGGAATAGAATATGTGAGGGATTGTATCAACAGAGATGTGTATAATGAAAAGTAACATCTATCCTTCTTTTGCATCGCTGAGCATTTCTGTTTTAGTATACTGGTTTGAAAATGTTGAATTTGCATGATTTGCAATGTGTTTTTTTTACTGAAACTCCCCTATTGATCGAATCCCGGGTTTGAAAGAGAACGGCACACCACGTGATTCGTTTGAATACAATGGTGAAGGCACGCAAGCATGA